ATCTAGTCCATTATGTCTGAACTTAATTGATTACATCGAATAGTTGTGGCTTAACATACAATATATATTTTATTAAAGATGATCAATATAGAACTGTCACTGGTAACATGGTTGTTGGGAGAGTGGAGGTCATGTTGTGTCACGGATTGTATGTAAACCTGTTTGTGTAGTGTCTCTCTGTCCTCCTTTTCACGCACACACACACACCGGATCCTCGCAGCTAGAGGGTTTCAAGTTGATGTGGCACCATAGCTTGATCAGTGACAGGCAGCGTCCGGCCCTGAGTGGATGGATCACAGGTTATGAATGATATATTTCCGAATTAGAAGACAACTGCCGCCGCCATTTTGTATGGATGATGTACTGATGTTTCATCTGTCCTTGTCCCTTGTTGTGGACCTTGGCCGTTCCTTTAAGTTTACTGAGGTCAAGGTTGACTAATAAACTTGGTCATCGTCGCTGTCAGGCTGGAGGACAGCAGGATGGAGTCTGACATCCTGTCTGTGGGTCGTAATATATATTCGTGACGTTTGTTTGAAGTTTTAGATAACTGTAACTTGAGGCAGACAACAGGGGAGCGTGGCAGACAGTTCTGAGAAGTGGAACACTAAACCTTTGGGGATGGCTAAAGGAAGAGGAAGACTTAGATTACTTAAAAACACTATGATCAGTGAGGGTTAGAACCGATGTGTTGGGCCTGACGATAAGTTTCTTCAGTAAACACGTCAGCCAGCGAGGTGTAATGAATGAGTGGGTTGTGTTATGAGGTCCTCACCCAGAGCTGAAATGAACCTCGGGAGGAAGTCACTGGAGCTGTTAACACCACGGTACACTGCCTCACACCACGGTACACTGCCTCACACCACGGTACACTGCCTCACACCACGGTACACTGCGTCACACCACGGTACACTGCGTGTACACTGCTCACACCACGGTACACTGCCTCACACCATGCTACACTTCACACCACGGTACACTGCGTCACACCACGGTACACTGCTCACACCATGGTACACCGCTCACACACGGTACACTGCTTCACACCACGGTACACTGCTTCACACCACGGTACTGCCTCCACCACGGTACACTGCTGCACACCCTCACTGCTTCACACGGTACACTGCTCACTATGCACACTGTTTACATCACGGGTGTACACTGCTTCACATCACGGTACACTGCTTCACAGTACACTGCTTCACATCACGGTACACTGCTTCACACCACGGTACACTGCTTCACACCATGGTACACTGCTTCACACCACGGTACACTGCTTCACACCACGGTACACTGCTTCACACCACGGTACACTGCTTCACACCACGGTACACTGCTTCACACTACGATACACTGCTTCACACCATGGTACACTGTTTCACACATCTCTAATTAATAATCAACGCTTCTTCCACAATCAGCTGCAGTTAAAATTATTCTTTGTTACATTTCTTTACCTTTCACGAGTCAGGTGCTCCTCTCACGTGTTGATCAAATCCTGTTGAGCCTGAGTTCCATGATAGGAGCACAGTATATTAAAACTTATACTTCATAACTTGATTGACTAGTAATTGCTTTTTTGTATTGTATACTTTGTGAACATTATGACAGATTTTGCCTTATTTGGTTGATAATTAAAGATTGGTTCATAGGACTTGATCGACTCATAACTAGGGTTTGGGTTGAAAATTGCTAGTGTGTGAAAGTTATGCTTTATACTGTGCAGAGTTTATTAATGTAAGATTAATGCATTATTATGATTTGAGGAAGTTAATGAGTGAGTGTGAGGAATTTTCTAAAGATATTCTCAGACCTGATAATGTTAATGACTCCATACGCTGGTGTGGTGAAGGAGTTTGTACTGCGTGATTAAGTTGTGAAGCGGGGGCATGTGATAACCTGTCCTGCCCTGTATCCATGCTGTCCTTGGCTACTGCTGCTTGGCTCAATACCAGTAATCTACTGTTTGTGCTGCCCTCCTGCTGGAACACCTGTTGATGCTTGTCTGCTGTCTATCAGCTGCTGCGGCTGCTAATGCCCTGTCTGCTGGCTGCTTACCTACCTGCCTGCTTACCTACCTGCCTGCTTGCAAGCCTGCCTGCCTGCCTGCCTGCTTGCAAGCCTGCCTGCCTGCCTTCTGCTGCCGTCGCGGTGAGTGATCTGTAGCGGGTTGTTGACGGCTGCCAGATGCTGTTGCTCCAGCGGCCTCTGAATGAAGGGTTGTGTTGCCACTGCCGCGTCGGGTCCTAGTTCTCAACCTGAGTTTTGTGACCTACTGGTGGTGAGTGAACGTGTGTAGCTAAGGAGTCTTATAGTTATTTTGGATGTCATTTGGGGACTTAATATTTTTTGTATTATTATGATCATTAGGTTGAGGCACCCAGTACGCTGAGTGCTTACGTCTTCAGTTACGAGAAATGTGGACTTTCAGCTTCACTGTATTGGACGTCCGCTCTGCTCTGTACTGGGCGTCCGTTCCTGTCTGCTGTGTTTATGTCAAGGATGCATGCCCTTGTTTCCTTTTGTGTGTAAACAATTGTAACTGGGATAGTGACCTCCAAAAGCCACATGTCCCCTTTATCTGTATATACAGGAAGCTAGGTATATGGGGCGTGTCCTATGTACCTGGGTTTACAGTTCAGGAAGCCAGATACAGGTATGTTTGTGTACCCGAAGGTGTATCCTGTGTATCTGGGTTTTGAGAGACATCCGGCCAGCCAGATCTTTGGAATGTAGTACACAGATATTTTAAATGTACTACCTCGGTTGAAGTAGTGTATATAACCACGTCACATGGGAGGTGGGCTTCAGTTTATCCCGCTCCGTGTATAGTACTTTAACATCCAGGAAGGCAAGTTATCGGGGCGTGGGTGTACTGGCGGACTAGTCGACCTTTCTTGAGGGGTGTTACCGTATACACAGAACCCCACCGCTATCGTGTGTGTTTCAGAGTTCTTGTACCAACACATCATTGCGTTTTCTTTTGATTCGGGGGTGGGGAGGGTGGGGGGGGGGCAGTGGTGGGTGAAACAATTTAGTCAGTGTGGATGAGGAGCGTAGAGGAGAGATAGGGTATAGTTTGGGGGTGTTGCATACGTTGAGTGTAGGCTGGTGTGAGGTAGCGTGTGGTTGGAAGTTATGATTGGGTGTAGGTTGTTAGAGGTATAGCGAGTGGGTGTAGATAGCCGGTGGGTGTATGCTTGTTTAGGTAGAGAATGGGTGTAAACTAGTTTTTATATGAAGTTGGTTGTAGGTAGCGGGTGGGTGTAGGTAGTGAATGGGAATAGGTAGTAGATGGGTGTAGGTAACGAGTGGGTGTAGGCTACACCCACTCGTTACCTACACCCTTATGCTACCTACATTACGTACAGGTAGCGCATGGGTGTAGGTAGCGGGTGGGTGTAAGTAATGGATGGGTGTAGGTAGTGAATGGGTGTAGGTAGCGAGTGGGTGTAGGTAGCGGATGAGTGTAAGCAGAGGGTGGTTGATGGGTGTAGGTAGGTTAGATGTAGGGTACCGCGGGCACTCTACACCGCCCACCAGTGACACGGGTAAGGATTGTCGTGCCATTCATTACCAGTTTATCGGGCGTGGCCCCCCAACACACCTGCCCACGTGCATGTAGATCACCTTGTTATCCTCCCTCCGTTGCCTCTGCCCTGCCCAGCTACCTGTATGTGCCCACGCTGCCCCAACCTGTTGCGCTGACCATTGTGTGTATTTATCTTTCTCTCTCCCTCTTATCTCTCGCTACCTCCTTCCATTTATTCTCATCGTACTTCCCGCTATTATCGACAGTTTCTTGACCCTTTATTCGTTTTTGTTCTACTGTTCATATCATCTATTGTCATACATTTTTTTCCCTCAATAACTTTCCTCAATTTACGTTTCGGATTCTTTGTTTATGAATTATCGTCTTATTACTAATTTCTTCTCTTCTTATTGTTTACTTATCTGTAATTATCCAACTTCTTATGAGCTTCACATGTATACTTACACTCTGTGTGTGTGTGTGTGTGTGTGTGTGTGTCCCCTTTCAGCTTTTTGTTTACTCATTTTTGACCTTGTTAGATACACACCCCCGGATGTCTAAATTCCTCCTCCACAGGTTATTTTCCTTTTATTCGAACAGCCTTTAAGAGTTCCTCCTCCTCCTCCTCACCACAACTGCTCGTATTTGGCTTCTTTGTGTGTCAGCGGTACTATTACTCCTCCTCCTCTCCGCCTTGCGCCAGTGATCAGTTCTCTTGGTTGCGATTCCCAGAAGGCAGTTGCAGTGACTATTCGTCGTAACAGGAGATACAAGAACGCATTTAACTAGTTGACTTAAGCTAGAGCACAAGAACTTCCCTCAAAGCTTCATCGAAAATTCCCCCTCCTCACCCCACCCTGACCCCACCCTGACCCCACCCCTACCCCACCCCTACCCCCCCCTCCCCGTGATTCTTGTTTTAATTAGATACGTTCACTTTAACACCAATTCGAGATACCTTGAAATTTCTGCCTTTGTTTTGTCCAATAACTCTTGGTGCTTTAGTTAAGATAGTCTCAGGGTAATTCCACGGATCCTTGAGTGGTTTATTCCGTTTATCTCAGGCCGTTAAAGTGCGTTCGTATATGTTTTTAAGTTACGAAGAAAATATACAGTTTAATCCCTTCAGATTCTAGAACAAGCTTTACTCATATCCTGATTAAGGTAACGTTCTCATCTTAATCTCGCAGCTAGAGAGAGAGAGTGAGTGAGTGAGTGAGAGAGTGAGTGAGAGTGTGAGATAATCCAGGGGCCGTCATCACGATAAACGCCTCCTCATACCCCGCGTTGCTTGTGAGGGCAGTCCTGGTGACACTATGAATGACTGCGTTGTTGACGTGGTTGATGATGGAAGTTTTATACCTCACCCACTGAGCTCTGAGACAGTTTGTTGTGTGGTGTTACAGTACAGCAAAGGTGGTGTTTGTTGTTGTTGCTTTGGAAGTGAATGTTTGTTGAGAGTTTATGTAGTGTTTGTAAAGTTTGTGTAGTTGTTTGTAAAGTTTGTGTAGTTGTTTGTAGAGTTTGTGTAGTTGTTTGTGTAGTTGTTTGTAGAGTTTGTGTAGTTGTTTGTAGAGTTTGTGTAGTTGTTTGTAGAGTTTGTGTAGTTGTTTGTAGAGTTTGTGCAGTTGTTTGTAGAGTTTGTGCAGTTGTTTGTTGAGTTTGTGTAGTTGTTCGTAGAGTTTGTGTAGTTGTTCGTAGAGTTTGTGCAGTTGTTTGTTGAGTTTGTGTAGTTGTTTGTAAAGTTTGTGTAGTTGTTTGTAAAGTTTGTGTAGTTATTTGTAGAGTTTGTGTAGTTGTTTGTAAAGTTTGTGTAGTTGTTTGTAAAGTTTGTGTAGTTGTTTGTAGTGTTTGTAAAGTTTGTGTAGTTGTTTGTAAAGTTTGTGTAGTTGTTTGTAAAGTTTGTGTAGTTGTTTGTAGTGTTTGTAAAGTTTGTGTAGTTATTTGTAAAGTTTGTGTAGTTGTTCGTAAAGTTTGTGTAGTTGTTCGTAAAGTTTGTGTAGTTGTTTGTAAAGTTTGTGTAGTTGTTTGTAAAGTTTGTGTAGTTGTTTGTAAAGTTTGTGTAGTTGTTCGTAAAGTTTGTGTAGTTATTTGTAAAGTTTGTGTAGTTGTTCATAAAGTTTGTGTAGTTGTTTGTAAAGTTTGTGTAGTTGTTCGTAAAGTTTGTGTAGTTATTTGTAAAGTTTGTGTAGTTGTTTGTAAAGTTTGTGTAGTTGTTTGTGTAGTTATTTGTAAAGTTTGTGTAGTTGTTCGTAAAGTTTGTGTAGTTGTTTGTAAAGTTTGTGTAGTTGTTTGTAGAGTTTGTGCAGTTGTTTGTGTAGTTGTTTGTAGAGTTTGTGTAGTTGTTTGTGTAGTTGTTCGTAAAGTTTGTGTAGTTGTTTGTAAAGTTTGTGTAGTTGTTTGTAAAGTTTGTGTAGTTGTTTGTAGAGTTTGTGTAGTTGTTTGTAAAGTTTGTGTAGTTGTTCGTAAAGTTTGTGTAGTTGTTTGTAAAGTAGTTGTTTGTAGAGTTTGTGTAGTTGTTTGTAAAGTTTGTGTAGTTGTTTGTAAAGTTTGTGTAGTTGTTCGTAAAGTTTGTGTAGTTGTTTGTGTAGTTGTTTGTAAAGTTTGTGTAGTTGTTTGTAAAGTTTGTGTAGTTGTTCGTAAAGTTTGTATAGTTATTTGTAAAGTTTGTGTAGTTGTTCGTAAAGTTTGTGTAGTTGTTCGTATAGTTTGTGTAGTTATTTGTAAAGTTTGTGTAGTTGTTCGTAAAGTTTGTGTAGTTGTTCGTAAAGTTTGTGTAGTTGTTTGTAAAGTTTGTGTAGTTGTTTGTAAAGTTTATGTAGTTGTTTGTAGAGTTTGTGCAGTTGTTTGTAAAGTTTGTGTAGTTGTTTGTAGAGTTTGTGCAGTTGTTTGTAAAGTTTATGTAGTGTTTGTAGAATTGTATGTGGCCCAATGATTTTAGCTTTGAATATAAATGTTTGTGATGATAATTAGTTGAGAAAGTCGTATGTGGTGCTTGTAAATGGTCGTGTTTGTAGTTAGGGAAGACGATGGCTACTCAGTTGGTTAAGATCCTGTTTTTGTGGAGATAGCTGACGGAAATAGAAAGATGGATAGATGGATAGATAGATGGGTGGATAGATGGGGTAGATAGATGGGTGGATAGATGGATAGATAGATGGGTGGATAGATGGATGGATGGAGCCGGTTCAAGTACAGTTTAGTTCTATTGGTGTTAATATGTTTGCAATGTAATAATAGATATACTGAATGGCGTTTTGAGACTTAAGTATAGTTCTGTATATGCCTATTTCTCTCCTAACCTAACCTGACCTTTCCCTATCCTACACGAACCTAGTTTAACCTAACCTAACTTTTCCAATACCTATTTTAACTTGACCTATTCTAATCGAACCAGACCTTTTACTATTCTATTTTAACCAAACCTAACTTGACCTTTCCTGTCCTGTCCTATGTTTAACCTAACCTAACTTAACCTAACCTAACCTTCATGTAACCGGTTCTAACTGTAACTTAATCCAACCTAAACCATAAACTTCACATGAATTTTGGCCAAGAATATATGACAAGATGTTCACTGAGGAATCTGTGGACTGTCAAATGCGTAGTTGAACCTGAGCATACTGTATACTGTACATGAATGCAGTTTTATCTTATTTCGCTGTTCAGTCTGTCATAATCTGGGTGAGGACAGGTTGTTTTTGAGGCGTAATGGGTTGAGCCACGCCCACCATATCTGACCTGCAGGTGTAGGGTGACGGGCGTAGATCATGCACCGCCTCTACACCGCCCACACCAGGTGCTCTGTGCCAGCTGTGTGTGTGGTGGTGTGTGGTTACCTCTAGTGTTGTCAAGCACTGGTGACTCGCTGGGCCAGTGCTGGTTGACTCTTGACCTCCCTGGGTGACCAATAGTGCTGAATGACTTTTGACCTCCCTGGATGACCACTAGTGTTGGATGACTCTTGACCACCCTGTGTAACCACTAGTGTTGGATGACTCATGGCCTCCTTGTGTGACCACTAGTGCTGGATGACTTTATTCTGGGTGACCACTAGTGTTGGATGACTCTTGACCTCCCTGGGTGGCTCTTAACCTCCCTGGATGACCACTAGTGTTGGATGACTTGACCACCCTGTGTAACCACTAGTGTTGGATGACCCTTGACCTCCTTGTGTGACCACTAGTGCTGGATGACTTTATTCTGGGTGACCACTAGTGTTGGATGACTCTTGACCTCCCTGGGTGACTCTTAACCTCCCTGGATGACCACTAGTGTTGGATGACTTGACCACCCTGCGTAACCACTAGTGTTGGATGATCCTTGACCTTGTGTGACCACTAGTGTTGGATGACTCTTGACCTCCCTGGGTGACCATTAATGTTGGATGACTTTATTCTGGGTGACCATTAGTGTTGGATGACTCTTGACCTCCCTGGGTGACCATTAGTGTTGGATGACTTTATTCTGGGTGACCACTAGTGTTGGATGACTTGACTTTCCTGGGTTACCACAAATATTGGATGACTTAACCTCCCTGGGTTACCATTAGTGTTGGATGACTATTCTGGGTGACCACTAGTGTTGGATGACTTGACCTTCCTGGGTGACCACTAGTGATGGATGACTTTATTCTGGGTGACCACTAGTGTTGGATGACTCTTGACCACCCTGGGTGACCACTAGTGATGGATGACTTGACCTCCCGTGATGACCACTGCTGATGGCTCTTGACCTCTAATTACAACCCTAAACTCACGTTGGATGACCTCTAACCTGCAAGGGGAGGTGGGGGAGGGGAGGGGTTACTTGAGGGTGGTAGTGTGGCCAGTGTGCCCTCCCCAGCGCCCTCTCCCCTAACATAGATAGCGACAGTTTTAGATAGGTGGAGTTAAGAGGAGTTCTGAGTAGGTATGATAGTGGCGCGGCCTTGGTGTGCCTGTACCTCCTCCTCCTCCTCCTGCCTCTCCTCCCCCCCCCCCCACCCCCCTCCCGACACGTGCAGAGGGTGTGGGTGTTGTCGAGTCGGCCCAGTTGACGTAACACCCACACTCATCCTCCCTACTACTCCACCCCTGCCCCACCCTCCACCCACTCTTCATACCCCAACACCCCCCTCTACTACACAACCCCACCAAACCACCAACTCCCACAATTTCCTCCCACCAAACTCCACACTCCCACACCCCCACCGCCCAATATTTCCTATACTATGTGTGTTCTTGTTACATCTCTTCCTTCTCATCTGCATATTACATTTAAAGTCTCCTGTAGATTTATGTCCTTAAACTATTTATGTATTTGTTCACCTGGTCATATCCGCCCCATCATCTCAGCACAGGTGTATGGTAATCAAATTCATATTAATTGTCGTTTTGTTTCTTTTACAGGTAAGAGGCGACTGATGTGTGATGGTGTAGTAGCTGTTAGAGTCCCCCGCTGGAGGTAATGTATACTGAATTACACCTGAAGTTTATCGAGTTGTGGTGGAGAAGTAGGTGTTGGTGGTGGAGAAGTAGGTGTTGGTGGTGGAGAAGTAGGTGTTGGTGGTGGAGAAGTAGGTGTTGGTGGTGGAGAAGCAGGTGTTGGTGGTGGAGAAGTTGGTGTTGGTGGTGGAGAAGTAGGTGTTGGTGGTGGAGAAGCAGGTGTTGGTGGTGGTGAAGTAGGTGTTGGTGGTTGTGTGGGTGGAGAAGTAGGTGTTGGTGGTGGAGAAGTTGGTGTTGGTGGTGGAGAAGTAGGTGTTGGTGGTGGAGAAGTAGGTGTTGGTGGTGGAGAAGTAGGTGTTGGTGGTGGGGGCGGCCGAGGGTTGCAGGAGGCGGCGGCTACCTCTCACCTTCTGGCTGGGGTCCTGTCTGGAGGCCTCTCCCCCTCAAGGACACCGCACTTGCTGCTTCCACTCTACTTCTTCTTACTCCTCTTTGTTTACAGATGTGCCGTAACATCTGGAGGGGCCTACAGGTGTGCCGTAACATCTGGAGGGGCCTACAGGTGTGCCGTAACATCTGGAGGGGCCTACAGGTGTGCCGTAACATTTGGAGTACAGGTGTTCCGTAACATCTGGAGGGTCTTACAGGTGTTTCGTCACCATCTGGAGGGACCTACAGGTGTGCCGTAACATCTGAGGGGACTTTCAGGTGTGTCGTCACCATCTGGAGAGACCTACAGGTGTGTCGTCACCATCTGGAGGGACCTACAGGTGTGTCGTCGTCATCTATACTAGGGATTCCCAACCAGGTACTCGCGAGCGCGATTTAAAGAATTGTAGACGAGCGCTGCCAGGCTATCGGGAAGCACACTGGTGCCCGCGAGCACCAGGTTGGGAACCTTTAGTGTAGATGGTGACGACACACTGTAGGTCTCTCCAGGTGGTGACGACACACGTGTAGGTCCCTCCAGATGGTGACGACACATCTGTAGGTCCCTCCAGATGGTGACGACACACCTGTAGGTCCCTCCAGATGGTGACGACACACTGTAGGTCTCTCCAGATGGTGACGGCACACTGTAGGTCCCTCCAGATGGTGACGACACACCTGTAGGTCCCTCCAGATGGTGACGACACACCTGTAGGTCCCTCCACATGGTGACGACACATGTAGGTCCCTCCAGATGGTGACGACACACCTGTAGGTCCCTCCAGATTCTAGAAAAACCTACAGGTGTGTGTCATCGCCCTCTGAAGTCTAGAGGATCTACAGGTGTATTGTCGTCACCTGCGTGGCGTTACAAGTGTCATTATCTGCAAAGACCCATAGGTGTGTGCCTGCAGCCCACGATCACAACAATTGCTGCCCACATTCTCACATTCCATGCCTAGACTCTCATACTGAGCAATATTGTGCTTGATAACTACCTCTTCATTGCTGACACTACTGATTGTGTTTGATATGACTGGTATTATGACGCGGCAGTGACGATAAATATACTGCGTTCATTTCAGGTTGGGAGTAAACGTGAAGTGCGTAGGTGAGTGCAGAGTGTGTGGAATGGGTGATATGGGAGGGAGTGTGGGATGGGTGACATGGGATGGAATGTGGGATGGGTGGTGTGGGAGGATACAGATAGTGGAGGAGAAGGTAGTGGTGTTAGTGACTGTAGTTAGTGGTGGAGGTGGGGAAGGAGTGGTTGCGTTTAGTGGTTGGAGAGGGTCAAGGTGGAAGTGGTAGGGTGGGGTGAGGTGGAGAGGAGGAAGGAGGAGATGGTGGTATGAGTGGGTGCAGGTGGTGAAGGAGGGGTGGGGGGGGTCGTGGTGGTAGGTGCAGGGTACAGGTGGTGGGGAGGCTAGGTGTCCTGCCAGACAGTGTGGCGCCTCACAGATACATAGCTTTACCCCCCTTCCCTCCTCTCCCACCTCCTCAATACCACACACCACCACCTCTGTACCCCTGCACTCCCCTCCTCCTCCTCTTTATTCTTTCGTACAGAGAAGTTAATGGGGAAAGATAGCAAAGGATAGTAAGGTACGTGTTGATTATTATAAGTTATTGCTAATGATCAGTGTTTGTTGAGGGAATGAGGTGGACTGAGTGGACAAGCAGACACTGAACGAGAAGGCTGAAGCAGTGGAGAGTTGGGAGAGTTGGACACTACGGGGGAAAGATTACGACTGATGGCAAAACAAGTTTATAATCCCGATGCAGTGGTCGTGAAGGGGAAGTGAAGAGAGCGACACAGATACAGAATAAAATGTAGTTATATTTGCAATGGTTAATAAGGTGCGCTGCCCAACAACACGGGTGCTTCATCAACTGACACACTTGTTATCCAGAAAACTGCGGATGAGATATTTGTTCAAAAATATCTGACGAGTCGAACCGTTGATAAGTGTCACATACTGGCAGTGGTTCCCCTTCAGTATTCTGTTTCCTATATTTGTCTCGCATTAAGATGTATGGTTTCTTTGTCTTATTTATTCAGGATTTAATGCAAAAAATTTGATTTATTTCACGTATAATAAACTTTTTATTTATCGGAAATAACTTGTACCTGTGATGGCTCTGTTGGTAACAAGTTGAGTGAGTTGCGGTGTGTACCTGTAGGCACTGAGCAGGTTGGCGAGGTGTGTGACAGGAAGTGTTCACTGTTTTCACAATGTTAGCGCCGTGGGGCGGCCGCTGGCGTGTTGCCCACACCGATTCCAAAGTGAACATGTTGCTAGGCATGATGTAGTGTAATGTACTGTTTTGGGGTACCAGCTGAGGACTACGCTACCTGCACCTGGCAGGTGCAGGTAGGAATTAACTTCTTTTTCTCACTCGCCCTTCTACAAATGCAAGCAAGAGCCCCTACACCAGTACACACGCATGACACACAAACACTCGACCTGCTCTTTCCCTTCACGTTGTTGGTTATTCCTTCGTTATGGACGTAACGAGTTTAGGAATACAAGTATAAAGCATAGTTCGTGATCGATGTGGCCGTCACTGCCTAAGTGTAAAAATGTTTTTCAAAGCTTTAGTGTGTGTGTGTGTGTGTGTGTGTACTTGCTTACAGATGCTTGCCAAGGGCTTGTTGAGCAATGATGCTTTCTACACGTATCTCAGGAACCAGGGCGAAATATAGCGCCAACAAACCCAGACCCATTGTTGTGTTTCTCGTCCAGATGCATCATCCCTAAAAGTTGTCCACTCTTCGCGGAAGTTAGTTTGTTTAAGATGAAATCAGTTTAATAATTTTTTTTTTAGTCCACGGACAAAGAAAGGTTTAATGAAAACTCCAGATTGGCAGCGATGTCCTTCTTAATGATGATGGCTGAACAGCATAAATTCTCTGAGCCTACAGTACCTCGTACTGGATCTGAGACAACTGTGTAGTACTCCTTTATCTCTGTGTTATATAGATCATAATAGCTAAACGACTGAGAGTTTGTGCGAGTTGTGTGTGCGGTGAGGGGGGGTAGGAAGGGAGTGTGGGTGGGACACGCAACAAGTGCTTTTGCTGCTGGTGATGACCTTGGCCAGCCACCAGTGCCACACACTCTTGCTGTTCTTGATGTTACTGTTGCTGCTGCTTCTGTATTTTTTTATTTTTTTCTGGTGTTGCCACTTCTGTATCTCGTATTTCTGTTGTTGCTGCTGTTGATGCATTCTTGCTGTTGGTCCTGTAACAGCTGACCTTGTCCGGCAACCAGTTACACGCTGTTGTTTCTGTTATTACTGTTCCTGTTGCTGATATTGTTCCTCTGGTTCTTGTTCCTGTTGAAACTACATATGTTTTCCGTCCGTTTATGCCTCTACTGCGCTCACCTCCTGTTCTAAGAGTAGCTAGCTCGTTCCCGGGGCTCCAACACAGTTCACCTACATTACAGTTGGGGGGGACGCGTGAAGGAGTAGAATATAGTGCCCACCAAAGGCTTAGTATACAGTGTGTTGTATCCACTTTGTCCCTAACTGGTCGTCTGGCTTATGGGACACAGTTTCATTTTTAATGCATCTCCAATTCTTGTTCCTTAGGGCTTCTCTTTCTTTTCTGTTACCCATTTGCTGTTTCTGCTGTTACTGTTCCTTTTGCTCTCATTGCTGTTGCTCCCATCGTTTTGCTACTGCTGCTCCTCGTCTTTCTCTTGTTTCTGTTGCTGTTCCTCATCTTTCTCTTGTTCCTGTTGCTGTTCCTCATCTTTCTCTTGTTCCTGTTGCTGTTCCTCATCTTTCTCTTGTTCCTGTTGCTGTTCCTCATCTTTCTCTTATTCCTGTTGCTCATCTTCCTCTTGTTCCTGTTGCTGTTCCTCATCTTTCTCTTATTCCTGTTGCTCATCTTTCTCTTGTTCCTGTTGCTGTTCCTCATCTTTCTCTTGTCCCTGTTCTTCGTCTTTCTCTTGTTCCTGTTGGTCATCTTTCTCTTGTTCCTGTTGCTGTTCCTCGTGTTACTTATGACTTTTCCTGTTTATGTTGTCCTTGTTGCTTTTACTTTTACAGCCTCTCCTGTTACCGCTGTTGTTGCTGTTGTTATTAATCTTCCCCCCTGTTGTTATTGTTTCTATTCCTCGTATTATTCCTCCCATCTATGTTATTGTTTCTTCCTCTCCTTCCTCCTTGTTGATATTGCCGCCATCACCTCTCCGTTAGACGACAGCCTCCCTCTGTTACCTCCCACGGATATTGGTGGTGATGCCGAGGTGTGGGTAGTAGTTGTGGTGGCGATTGTGGTTATGCCGATAGGGATTGTGATTTCACTTCTTGTGTACGTGGATCCAGTCCTCCGTGGAGATGCTCGGTGTGTCATGTAACTTGTTAGTTATGGTGGTCGTCGTTCTGATCATGTGCTGTATATAAATCCGTAGGTTATGATTACGAAGCCACTGTCAACACTGGAATTTGTATAGGTAGCGGTAGTGGTTGTGGGTAGTTGTAGTGGTTGTGGTAGGAAGAATGTTGATGGGTGATGATTGCCTTAGTTGTTATTATGTTGGCGTGTGCCCACAGTGAAGGAGTCTTGATCCACTGGTTATGATAAAGCTTGTGCTTCGCCTCGACCTTGGAGTCTCACAAGCAGTGTGGCGGGTGGCGTAGTTACATTCCACCTCGAAAGGTGTTTTTTATTTTTAAGTGAGAGGATTAA